TTGAGTGCCTAAATCAGTAGCATTTCTCTATTAAGAATACACCCTCTGATGAAAAGAACAAAAAAAAACCCCAAAAAGGCAAGTCCTTCAAGGACCACCCAGGAATTCTCTGAATAAATAATAATTATTGATGTCTCAATGAAACGTATGATTCATTCATTGCAGGATACCTAGTACCTTTCATGTGCCATACACTGTGCTAAGCATGGCCATGGAGCCTGCCTTTAGAAAAATTAGTTGGAGAGATAAGGCATTGCACAATCATAGCTATGATATGATACTTTTTCTTTTTTTTTTTAAAGATATTTTTATTGCCGAAACCAGTTTGGCTCAGTGGATAGAGCGTCGGCCTGCGGACTGAAAGGTCCCAGGTTCTTTCCTTGTCTCCATATAAAGGTTGTCCGCAGGCTGCCGCTCTATCCACTGAGCCAAGGGGACATGCTTGGGTTGTTGGCTCGATCTCTAGTAGGGGGCGTGCAGGAGGCAGCCGATCCATGATTCTCTCATCACTGATGTTTCTATCTCTCTCTCCCTCTGAAATCAATAAAAATCTATTAAAAATAAATAAGTAAATAAATAAAATCCTACAATGCACAGGACAACACCACAACAAAAAATTATCCAGCCCAAATTGTCAACTGTGCCAAATTGAGAAACCCTGTCCCAATATAGTGAGGAGCAAAGGGAAGCTCAAGAGATACAAATAAAATGCTAATGTGGCAGTTTAGAACTTTCTAAATTACATTGTCAATCTAAAACATCCAAAAAAACTAAGAGTCTGATTGTGGAGAATTTTGTAAATTGGACAATGGAGTTTAGACTTCTTTTTAAAAATTTTATGTTTATTTCCATTTCTCCTATGATTTTTTTAAATGTATATTTATTGACTTCAGAGAGGAAGGGAGAGGGAGAGAGGAGACAGAAACATCAATGATGAGAGAGAATCATGGATCAGCTGCCTCCTGCACGCCCCCTACTAGGGGTCCAGCCCGCAACCCAGGTATGTGCTCTTGATTGGAATTGAATCCTGGATCCTTCAGTCTGCAGGCTGATGCTCTATTCACTGAACCAAACCCAGCCAGGGCTAGATTTGACTCTTCGGTAATATGATTCTTTGGGAAAGTGAAGGGTAATGAGATGAAAATGGTTCTTCGTAAGATTAGTCTAGTTGTGGTGCAGAAGTTGAAGTATAGGCATGAAAGCCAGGTTAGTAGAAAGTAAAGAAACTGATGATGACAATTCCAAGGCATAATCACTAGGACTGGGTAAATTATGGCTTGAGAATCCTGAGATTTCAAATCTCAGGATTAAATTCCAAACCAGAAGGTTCAAATTCAAATGATATTTTGCATTTGCTTGTTTAAGTAAAATGAATCGTTGACTCACAATGCTTCAGAAAACTGAAAGGAGGAAGTAAATTTTTAAAGGCTTAGTCCCTTGTTAAAAAAATAATAGTAATTAAACAAATGTATGTATAACCAAGAAAAGGGGTGACAATAAAGATCACCACTTATTGGAAACAAAACATTTTACAAACTAAACAGCTAACCTCCTCAAGGCAAAAACACATTAATTGAATCTTAACACTACCACCATTTTCAGTTTGCAAGACAGGTTGTACATGACAAAGTACTTTCATCACTGCTACATTTTATTTAAACTTCTGAGACATAAATTATGTCCACCTGATTGATAAAGTATTTGGATGGGGGGAGAAAAAAGCAGGAAATTCTTACAGAATTTTCTTTATGTTGGACTGCAACAACTTATACAATAAGCAAGCTGTCAACCACAGAATAAAATACAAGTGCAGTCAAATAAGGTATCAAAAGCCATTCAGGCATCTACCTTTTTACTGACCTTATCTTCTGCCACAAACTCCAGATTCCAGTACTTCATGCCCTCTCCTGCCTCCACATCTTGCTCTTGCTGTTTCCACTGTTTGAGTACCTTATTAGAAATCTTTGCTTGGATGTGCTGCAAACACCTTGTACTCAATATATCCAAAATTAATTTTCTTTCCCTGCCACCTGTCCAACCCAGCCTTCCCTCTCATAATACCTATCTTGGTGAATGGTACTACCCAGTTTCCTAAGCCAGAAAACCAGGCAATCACCCTAGACCAGCGGTCGGCAAACTGCGGCTCGCAAGCCACATGCGGCTCTTTGGCCCCTTGAGTGTGGCTCTTCCACAAAATACCACGTGCGGGCGTGCATGTACTGTGCGACTGAAACTTCGTGGCCCATGCTTAGAAGTCAGTTTTTGGCCTGGGAGAGTCTATTTTGAAGAAGTACTGTTGATATTTGGCTCTGTTGACTAATGAGTTTGCCGACCACTGCCCTAGACTATTATTCCTCACTCCCATAAGCAACCAGCCTCCAGTTCTATGGATTCCATCTTTTTAACATTGTTCAAGCCTGATTCCTCCTCTTCTTTCCACTGTCATTGCCCTATTTAAAATCATGATTATGGAAACAGCTTCTAAACACTGGTCTAGTTCCTCTCATGTCTCTTCCCATTTGACAGACTGAACTTCCTAAAACATAAATCTGCCCTGGCCTATGTGGCTCAGTTGTTGAGCACTATCCCATGCACCAAAAGGTCACTGGCTCGATTCCCGGTCAGGGCATATGTCGGACTTGCAGACTAGCTCCCTGGTGCGGGGTGGGGAGTGGCGGGCCATGCAGGAGGCAACCAATCAATATTTCTCTCACATCAGTGCTTCTCTCCCTCTCCCTTCATTTCTAAAATCAATAAAAGCATATTTAGCCCTGACCGGTTTGGCTCAGTGGATAGAGCATCAGATTGCGGACTGAAGGGTCCCAGGTTCGATTCCAGTCAAGGGCATGTACCCTGGTTGCAGGCACATCCCCAGTAGGGGGTGTGCAGGAGGCAGTTGATCGATGTTTCTCTCTCATCGATGTTTCTAGCTCTCTATCCCTCTCCCTTCCTCTCTGTAAAAAAAATCAATAAAATATATATATTTTTTAAAAGCATATTTAAAAATAAATACAATAAAACATAAATCTTACAACACAATTTTCCTACATAAAAGCCTTCAAAGCCTCCTCATAGCTTTCAGGGTTAGATCCATATTCCACATTGCTTTTAAAAAATATATATGTTTATTGATTTCAGAGAGGAAGGGAGAAGGAGAGAAGATAGCAACATCAATGATGAGAGATGATCAGCTGCCTCTGTACATTCCCCAATGGGGATCAAGCCTGCAACCCAGGCATGTGCCCTGACTGGGAATCGAACCGTGACCTCCTGGTTCATAGGTTGACACTCAACCATTAAGCCACTCCAGTTGGGCCAGATCCATATTTCCTAACATGGTTTACAAGGTCCTTCATATTTGACCCCCACCACTTCCCATTTCCTTCACTTCTCCAAGCATTACTAGAATTCTAGTCACCCTGAACTAGTCATGGTCTTTCACGTGTCCAGATCTCCATGTCCTTAGTTTTGTACGCTTTGCATGGCAATTCCTTTTCCAGATTCACCATATGGCTAAATAAATCTCCAAGACTTAGCCTCCCATTTCCTCCTCAAAGCCTGAAAATCTGGCTCAGGTATTTCTCCTCTTACTGCCTTTCAGCCTTGTGCTCACACAGTGCACTTGAACATTGTAAACCATCCCTGCTTTACTAGTCTGCCCCTTCCTCCACTCTATAACTGTATTCTTAGCCACCAGGGCCAAGTGCCTCCTTTAATCTGTGCCTCACACATGTTAAAGGCTCGAGAAATCATTGGTGATGGGCTGTCCCGTTTTTCACTTGAACAGGAATTCCTATAAAGAAGTTCAACTGTCAGTTCTGATACTTCTGCCTTAAAAATTAAGGTTGCCATCCTCTCTTCATCGAGCTTATTCCTATTCATCCTTCAAAATTCATCTTAAACATTGCTTCTGCAGAAGGAATTTTCCTGAGCCCCTTGTTACATACTTCCATAGCTTCCTGTGTTCTTTTCTAACACATCACATTTATAATTACTTCTTAAACAAACGTCCCTGCAAACGGTTAGCTCCTTGATGGCAGGATTTAGCTGGTTTTGTTTCAAAACTGCATTCCCTGGATGTGGCAGGGTGCCTGAGACAGAATAAACACTATTTGTTCTAAATTTAATTCTGTGAGGTGAGTGGAGATCTCCACCTAAAGGATGGGGGTGGGGGTGGGGGGAAGAAAGAGGCTCAAAGAAGTTAAATAAGGCATCTATGGCCACAGATACTCAGCAGTGGGGCAAGACCAAACCTCAGCCATCTGATTTCAGGACCGGGAGTATGCAACACCCTCAATAAAGTTAACTTGCCTCTTCAGACTAAGAGCAACTGACTAGGAGGAAGGGAGGACTATCCGAATGCAAATACAAGGACCTGCCCCTCTCTCCATTTAGAAACTCCCCAGGCATCCCAAAGGCGCGGCACTACAAAAAAAAGAAGAAGTTCCAAGAAGCCTTTATCTTGGTGCCCTTTAACTTACAGATGCCAAAGAGAGGACACCCAACCGGAAAACCGTTCCGAGGTAGGTTCTCGGGGAAAGAATGTAGGAAGGATCTGGGGCTTGGATTCAAAGAACTGAAGTCATGATTCCAATTATTTCCCTCATTAGCTATACGATCACAAGACCAGCCTGTTCTTTCCGGGATCAATTTACCCATCCGTGCAATGGGGGCGAGATGGGGATAAGGAAGACTACTAAGGTCTCGGAGGTTCCTTTTAGTCAGGGCATCTTAGGAATCAGGTCTCCGCTGAAACTAATGACCCGGACTGCGAAATCCAGGGGAATGGTCACCCCGGGAGAGCCCAATTCAATTGGTCAACCCGGCCCCACCTTAAGAGACCGCGCCCAGGTTACCAGGTCGGCCTCAGGGCCTCCGCCCCAGACCCCTCGGCAGGGTTCACCACGCGCACATAGGCCAGGAACATAGGCCATTAACAACACCAGGGGCCAGTGGGCCGCGGAAGGCAGCCCAGTCCCTACCGGACCGCGAACCCTCACCTCAGAGCTCGGCTTCACCTCCGGACTGCGAACAGCCGCTTTCCACTTCCGGCAAGAACCGCCCAGCAATCTTCGCGCGACCCACTTCCGGGCCCTCACTGGGCGCGGCACCCCCACCGGAAACGAACGGCCAGCTGAAATGTCTGGCTGGAGGAGCGCGGGGAGGAAGTCCGGCCGCCCCGCTCGTGACTCCACCCCCTATTCACCACGCCCCGGCGTCTACCCGCCAGCCAGGAGCGCACAGGCAAAACAGCCCCGCCCCCAGGGCGGGAGCGACCCCCAAGAAGGGCGTGTCCTATCTGGCCACGCCTCCATCTAACTGTGGGGCCGCAGGCGCCAGGACCAATGAAGGGATGAAATTGCTGGCTAAGCTCCACCTCCAGAGAAGGAGGACAGGTAAGTGGCTAATGCTCCTACCAGTACGGGCTCAATGGCAACGGCCGCTCCCTTTTCACAACCGTCCAGAAGGGGTCTTTGGGGGACCAAGGGGTAGTTTTTCTGAGGGGCGGAGTTCTCGGCGGCCATCAACTATGCGAGGCGATGAAGGCTAAGCTCCGCCTCTCTCTGGGCGTGCGTACCTCGGTTTCCCCGTTTGTGACGTTGGCCTTGGACAGTGTTCTGGGTGGACCTGCAGAGGCTGGGTGTGGGGAGAGGGTAGATGAGAGCGCGTGGGCTCAGCTCCGGGCTTCTGGGCGTGCCCGCTGCGGCCTCGCTCGCTCTGCCCCGACTGGAAAGGTGGAAGCTTGCCCCACTTCCTGTTAGTTCGGTGCGCTTTGTGACCATAGATGGTCAGGTCTGGGGCCTCGCGGAAGCCTCCGCCCCGCGGTTTTGGAGTCCTTCCTCCAAGCCCCCAGGGTGTGGTTTCCGAGACTAAGATAAGCGGAATTAGAAGAGATACTGCTTGCTCCACTCCGCTAAAACCCGGCTTCTGAAGCAGCCTCACCCCGGGCTGGGCGTGCCCCGCCCGCTGCCATTCAGTTCAGGGGAGGTTCTGCGCGGCGGCTGCAGCCCGCCGGGGAGGCTTGTCTTCCTGGCTCGGACCTGGGGATCAGAGCTTTGATGCCTCAAGGCTCACATTTTCCAACCATTGATTACCCTCCCACATAGATTTATTTCCAGCAAAAATTGGCGAGTGCTATATAGTTCCTGTCTCTTCAGTTGAGCGACTGTGGTAGTTCCAAGCTTCAAGTTGAATGCAGGCGTTATATGCCAGTCATTCATTCCACAAATACAGGTCTTATAATAAGAGCTACCATTTATTACGCGCTGACTACATGCCAGGCCTGCACTGAATGCTTCAAGTGCATGCATTTTCATTTAATCCTAATAGGAACACTCTGCGGTAGGTACCATTATAGCCTCCCGTTTTAAAATGAGGAAGCTGAATTATTTGCCAAGGTTGCAAAGTAACTGTTTTACCTTTGAAAGGAACACATCTACTTGACTCTAAATCCCTTAACCTCCATATAGAGACCATACTGAAATCATTTGGGGCAGTGTTGAGGCAGTGTTGCTTCTCTGGATGAGGAGACATCCTGGGTTTTAGTCCTGGCTTAGGCCCTTAAGTAGGGGTCAGACTTTTATCAGGTTACCTAATTTCTTTGAACCTGGGCCTCTTCCCAATTTTATGACTCCTAGTATGTTTACAAGAAAAATGGCAAGACAAAATATTGTACAAAAATTGTACATTTTTACATTTATCAAGAAAACACAAGCACACACACAGACTTTGACTTTATTCAGACATAACATCAAAAGGTTGTATTTGAGTGCTTCATATATGTGCAACCTAGGGCAAATAGCCTCCCTGGCTCTCATTGTAATCACCTTTACATTTAGCCCTTCTAAATTTATCTATTAAAGACAGGAAATACCTAGACCACATACGCATCCTAGAGGAAAAGGAGAGATGAGGAATCATGAAGGAAAAGGAAGAAAGGAAGGAAGGAAGTTTCTCCATCTATAAAATTGAGACAATAATTTATAAGGTTGCCCTGTCTGGTGTGGCTCGGTTGGGCTCATTCTGTGCACCAAAAGGTTGCGGGTTCAATTCCTGGTCAGGGCACATGCTGGTTGCAGGCTTGATCCTTTGTAGGGAGCGTGCAGAAGGCAGCTGATCAAAAGGTTACTTTCACACTGATATTTCTCTCTCTCTCTCTCTCTCTCTCTTACTCTCTCTCTCTCTCTCTCTCCCCATCTCTCTCTCTAAAATCCATTTTAAAAAAATATTTTTAAAAATTTCGTAAGGTTGTAATGTGAAACAGGCAATAAATAACCTATGTGAATCCACTCTATAAAAGTGATTTTTTTTGTAACGAGTGCACGCATGAGTAAGGCACAACACCTCCCCCTAGGAAACTTCTAATCTTTTAAGGACTCTAAACATGTGCATTTACAATTCTAGTGGGAGGCAATTTAAGAGTGTTTGTCACTTTTATTTATTCATTCATTTATTTATACACAGGAAAAAAAATCATTGACTTTTTCCTCTGTGCTAGGCACCCTGCTACTTTGTACCAGGCACAACTAGAGTCACAGCAGTGGATAATTCAGATCCTCTCACTGCCCTAATGGAGCTTACAGTCTATTGTGGAAACAGGTATTACATCTGGAGTAGTCATCAGGACAAGGGCTGACTGCTGGCTTCCAGCTTTTTCTTCTTCACTGATCTTACGCAGTACCTCACCCATGGTGGGCTCTCGTCGAGCACGTGCTCAGTGAGACCCTTGAATTCAGAATAGTCATTTACTGAGCTGAGGTAGATGGGAAGAACACTGCAGAGAAACATGAGTAAATAATAGTGGAGATGGCTGAGGCGAGAGCTTCCTGTAGAAATTGGAGATAAAGAAGAAAAAAAAGAGGTTGAGCAATGTGCCAGGCAAGAGAGGTAAAACCTTAATGTGAAAGCAAGGAAGAGCTGGTCATATTTCACTTAGAAATATAACTCTAGCTGTGATGCAAAGCATGGACTTGAGTGGGCAAAAAAAGGAGTAGGGAGCTCGGCTGGTGTGGGTCAGTGGTTGAGTGTCGACCCATGAAACAGGAGGTCATGGTTTGATTACCAGTCAGGGTGCATGCCCTGGTTGCAGGCTTGATCCCCAGTAGGGAACATGCAGGAGGCAACCAAATGATGAGTCTATGTTTCTCTCTCTCTCTCCCTTTCTCTGAAATCAATAAGAACATACTAAAAAAGGGGGGAAGGGGCTAGAGAAACCTGTTAGAAGACAGATATAAAAATGTATCAAGGGCCTGAATCAAGGCTATGGTAGGGGGATGCAGGAGAAGGGACAATGCAAAAGACACCATTCTTATAAAGGGAGCAGTGAGGAGGAGGAGGATAAGGAGTAAGACCAATGGAAAGAGAATGATTTGAATGAGCCTTCAGTCTAGAAGAGCTAGTTCCCCAGGGATATACTCCCATTGAATACTACTTTTCCTTCCTGGCAGGTCTCACAATCTTAATTAATTATTTGTGCAATTATCTTGTAATGTCTTCTTTCTCTGTAAGTACCTTGAAGTGAGAGTCCTTACCTCTCTGGCTCAAAAATGATACTCAATAGATATTTATGGAAAATGTTAACTAAATGAAAAGGGTGGATGGGCCAAGGTGGCTCTGAGACTTGGAGCATAGCTGAATGGAAGGTGACAGAAAGACTGGATTGGTATTTTAGGGTTTTGAGCCTTAGACTTACAAATCCAGCCTTGGGAAGAGAAAGAAAGAAAGGAGTGCAGTTAATCATTTTGCAAACAAGAAATGACAACAGATGCTTGGCCAGTGTGGCTCAATGGTTGAGTGTCGACCTGTGAACTAGGAGGTCACGGTTCAATTCCCAGTCAGGGCACATGCCCAGGTTGCAAGCTTAATCCCCAGTGTGGGGTGTGTAGGAGGCAGCCAATCGATGATTATCTCTCATCATTGGTGTTTCTATATCTCTTTCGCTTTCCCTTCCTCTCTGAAATCAATTTAAAAAAAAATTGACAACAGAGTTGATTGATTCTCACACATGGCCTGTCTTCATGTACTTTGCCATTTTCTCATTTTGCCTAGATTTCAGCACATTTCTAAGCCTGCGGAATAGCTTTGTCTCTGAGATTCTTATCTTTGTCTCCAAGATTCTTATCTCTCAGAGTTTCAGACACAGAAGTCTAGCGGTTTATCTGGAATGTTTCCCGGCCTGGCTCAGAGGATTGCCTGCATCTGTGCTGCCTGGCTCAGAGCCTGTCTGCATTTGGGCGGATCCTCTCTCCCCCTGCCAGAAGGGGCTGATGACAGACAATAATCTATGCAAGCCCATCTTTCTTCCCTTCTTCGGGTGGCCCTAGGATCCAGCCTGAGTTAGGGTCTCAAGTCCAAAAATTACTAGTTGGCAAAATAAATATTGGCACAATAATGTAGTGGTTAAGATCTGGATTTGGTGTCACTCTGACCTGAACCTGCATCCCAACTCTGCCACTTGCTAATTGTGAAATCTTGGTGAGGTCAGTGGATATTAATATCCATCTTGAATGGCTGATATGGTGATTAAGAGAGAAAATTTACAAAAATCATTGACTCAATGAGTAGTAACAATTATTAATCAATACAGAGAGTCTATTGTCTATGTCCCTGGTGAAGACCACCAGGAAGCAAAATAAAGTCTGAAGTATCAACACAATGGATGGTGCCACCATAACCACTGCCACTACTATCCCATCACTATTCTTTATATCATTACCTTTTGATTCCAAGTTGTGGCCTGTACCCTTGGCTGCAAGTAAGACTAGATAAATCAGTTAGGAACTTGAATGCTTTTGGCGACAGATAACAGAAAACTTGACTGTGGAGACATTTAAAACAAAGTGGGTTTTTTTTTTCATATACAGGAAGAATGGAAATGGGCAGTTTTACTGGCTCAGTAATATGAGTTGATAGCTCTGTGATTCCATTTGACTTATTCTTTATTAACATTTTTTTTATTGATTTCAGAGAGGAAGGGAGAGGTAGAAAGAGATAGAAACATCAATACATCAATTATGAGAGAGAATCATTGATCGGCTGCTGCCTCCTGCACGGCCCCTAGTGGGGATTGAGCCCACAACCCAGTAATGTGCCCTTGACTGGAATCAAACCCAAAAGCCTTTAGTCCGCAGGCCG